GCACTCACCAGAGAGACAGACAGAGACAGAGAGACAGAAAGTAAGAAATCACCTCCCCTGGGGGGATGGCCATGCCTCAATCCCTTCTCCCAAGATCTTGGGCACGCATGCACACATGCCCAGCATGAGTTTAAGCCACTGGGTCTGGGACACGGACTGTGGTTAACTACATGGCAGTCCAGTGACATAGCCATTATGCCATTGCTGGTCCCTGAATTTAAGTGTCTCAAATTTGAAAAGCCACAGTCTGATTCTTGTTGGGCCTGTCCTGTATTTAAAGTACTTCTCAGGTGTCATGAAGCTGTGTGTGTCAGTCATCGAACCTTGAATGTGGCTTCCTTTGCAGGCGTGTTCATCTCACGTGGTTTATGTTTTAATTAGACACTTGTACGGTGTAATTCTCTCCTCTGGAGCCTGAAGTTAGGACGAAGGCACCAGCCTGCACAGGGTGCAATAAATCGTCACAGGAGTTTTACATGGAGAGCTATTTTGGGACTTTATAATTTATAAGCTGTGTACGTGTAGGAAGGAATAGTTTATAATCCCACGTCATTGATTGATTTGGTAAGAGGGACTTGGTAGCGATGAGAATTGTGCCTGGCAGCCTTTATGAATAGAACGGGGGTGCTGAGAAGGTGGATTTCAACCCAGCAAGGGTGAACTCCTCCTGCATTCGGCTGCCCTAACGTGCTAGGGGCTCCGCTCATGCAAACTCCAGGGTTGCTATGAAATATATCAGTCGTGTTGTGATTTTCATGGTTAGAGCAGCAGCTTTGCACACAGCTTAGCTAATCCTATTCCATTTCCTCAAGTTAGAGGCTGGTTGGAGCTATTTTTATGCTTTTGTTTTGTTTTGCTTTTTAATTATGTGGTCGAAAGATCCCAAGTGCCTTGTACCCAGCAGCAGTTTAGAAATTATTTCTGTTCCTCTTGTCAGATGGAGACAGTCTTGGCCGGCTTCTCTTCACCTGCCTGTCTGAAGCCCAGCTCCCAGCCGGGTCTGCGGGAGCGGGAAGACAGGAAGAAGCTTCTTGCTGTTAGCAAGCGGAAATCTCTGCTTGGCAGGCCTGCAGTGGCAAAGGCCGTCCAGGGGAAGATGGAAATCCTCTCTCCCTTCCTTCCTTGAGCCTCGCTGCTTATTGTAGGAGATGAGAATTGCTCTCATTCTAGAAAATCCTTGGAGCTTAAGAAGAGTGCAGCTTCAGTTATTTAAGGCTTAGAGTCTCTGTGTGGTTGGATTTCTCAAATGTAGTTTATGTGTATGCAGAATATAGTCACTGAAGAGCTGAAAAGGCCTCAGCCGATGGAGGGGTGTGCCTTTAGAGGCAGTGAGGTTCCTCTGGCTCCTCACAGTACTCCCCACCCCTGTCTGTCCCGGGCCTCAGAGCTAGTCAGCCACCTTCCTGAATGACAGAACCCCATTATCTGAAATTCTGCTTTTACCAAGGAAGTTGATGTTTTTTTTTTTTTTCTTACTCTTTTTAAGATCCTAGATAATCTGACAAGTCAAATGCTACTATCTTTAAATTGAATCTTTACAAAAATCTTGATTGAGATAGGGTGTGTTAATAGTCTTTTTTTTTCTTTTCTTTTTTTTTTAAATGCTATAGGGCACATGTATTCACCGTTAAGAAAAAGAGTGAGGGACCAGCAGTTAGCATAATGGCTGGACTCCCATGTAGTCAACTGCGGTTTGAGTCCCGGACCCGGTGGCTTAAACTCACAGGCGCGTGTGTGTGCCTTCCCAAGATCCCGAGAGGAGAATGGAGGAGAAGGGATTGTGGTGTGGCCATCCCCCCTGGGGGGTGATTTCTCACTTTCTATCTCTTTGTCTTTCTGGCAAGCGCCCGTGCCCAATAAGAAAGCCTCTCAAAAAAAGAGAGAGAGAGAGCGAGAGAGAGACACGGGAAGTGAGAAATTCTCCTCTAGAGGGGATACCTACAGCAGAGCCCCTCGGCTTTTGGGTACACATGCATATGTGCCCAGCATGCTTTTCAAGCTTTCAGGTCTGGGATTTGAACCCCTGTCAGCTGTGTGGGTATTGCGTGCTTTCACCACCTGCTGGCCCCAGAGTCAATTCTTTCAGGTTGCGAAAGGGTGTGCTGACATTTACAGAAGCCTGTATCCTTGGCTGTGTGAATAATGCCTAAATGTAATTTACAACCATTCTTTCTAAAACTCCTAGTTACTTTTCTTTATTGAATTTGTGCATGGTTCAGTTTATTTCTATGACTTCTTTTTTCCTGTTTCTTTCTTTCTTTTTTTATATTAGGTTTTTTGCCATAGGTCACATGTACTCCTGGAGAAGAGAGAGAGGAAAAAGGAGAAATCTCCTCTTAGGGGGGATCGTCACTCCTCTCAATCCCTTGGTCTTCTGTTCTCCTCTTCGGATTTTGGGTTCGAATGCACATGCGCCTTGCATAATTTCCAGACCACTGGATCCAAGACTCAAACTGTTTATGTCCATGTGGGAATCCAGCTGCCTTTACCACCGCACCATCTGCTGGCCCCATAGTTTAGGACAAACTTTTTTTTTTATCTTCCTAGGCTTGGCTTTTGCTGTGTTCAAGTCCCTGCTTAATTCTGCCTTCCTCTTTAGTGCTGTTTACATTTTGGTCTTTGTGCCTTTACTATTGAAATAGCTAGAATGGTGTTTGGATTTCTGCCCTCCCCTCCGGTGCCCTGCTCTCTCAGTCCCCAATAACCTGACTTTTTACTGCTACTTTTCTTTTCTTTCTTTTATTATTATTATTATTTGGAGAGGTTTTTGCTATAGTGCATGTGCGCTCGCCAGAAAGACAGAGTCAGGCAGGGAGCGAGAAATAACCCTCCAGGGTGGATGGCCACACCACAATCCCTTCTCCTCCCATTCTCTTGGGCACGCACGCACACGCACCCTGCGTGAGTTTAAGCCACCGGTTCTGGGACTCAAACCGCAGTTGATTACATGGGAGTCCAGCAACATAGCCATTACACCAGCTGCTGGTCCCTTGCTGCTAGTTTTCTTAAGCACCTTTTTTAGACCTGGACGATGAGACAGGGAGTCATGTGGGACCTGCAAGGCCTGTTAACAGTACCACTTAACCTTGGTCAGAATGGCTAAGCTGAAAAAAAAAAAAACAGAAGGTGTTAAGTCTTGGTGAGGCTGCAGTGAAAAGGGAACCCTGCTATACTGTGGGTGGGAACGTAAATTAGTCCAGCCACTGTGGAGAACAAGATGGAGAGTCCTCAGACACCAGCAAATAGAACTATCTCATACAGTAATTCCATGCTCAGGTATCTATCCTAGTGTTAGGAAAACACTCAGAAAAATTCTTGCACGTCCATATTTATTGCAGCATTGCTCACAATTGCTAGGACATGAAATTAACCCACATTTGTAAGAACAGATGAGTAGATTGAAAAAATGAGGCACCTGTCGTCTATGGAGTACTATTCAGCCATAAAACACCCGATGAGACCCTGACATTTGCTGTTAAATGGATGAATATGGAAGATTTAATGCTTTTTGAACCTTTGCTTAGTATATGCCAAATGTCTACACTCTATGGCAGAAACTGAAAGACTGGAAAGTATAATATCAGGGAGGACAACTGCAGATACTAGAGACATATAGAAGAGGGCATGTGGGTCCAGAGGATGGTGTAATGGTTACGTCAATGGACTCCCACATAGTTGATTGCAGTTCGAGTCCCGGCCCCAGCAGCTTAAAACTCAGGCCAGGCGGGTGTGTGCTCAAAACCCTGAGAGGAAACTGGAGACGGGATTGTGCCATGGCCATCCCCTCTGGCGGGTGATTTCTTGCTTTTATCTTTCTGTGACTGCAAATGTTTTATGCCAAATAAAATTATAATAAAAAAGAAAGGGGTATGTGAAAGGGAGTGGGAGAGAGGAAAAGCGGAAAACATTCACTGGACACAAAAATGTAAAGTTATCTGTTGATGATAATGTATATGGGAATGTCTCTCAGTTGACTAATATGCACTGTTTTCCCTTCATGCTGGGGAGACCATTTTTTACATATTAAAGATGTAAGTGGCCATGTGGGAGTTGAGCACCCTTACCCAGCACGCCAACTGCAGAACCCTCCAGTTGCATTTCTTCTCAGGGACGTGTCAGTTCCTGGAAGGCAGCACCTGTATTTGCTGAGTGTTCCCTACCCCCAGTGACGGCACAATTTCTGAAAGAGAGCTGCACATATTAGTAACACGGTGCACATTCTGGTATAACTCAGACTTTCTAAAACTCCAGTGAAATGGCTCTTTACATGTCTGGTGAGGATTATACCTTTCCTAGCTTTCCCAGGAGTAGAAAACTCCAGCATTTTGAGATGTTGGTTGTTAGGGCGTGAGTGTGTAAAGGGGGTGAGGTGGTTGTGGGTTTCTTTCAGTCCCATTGACAACCCTTGCGTTAGCATTCGCTTGAGATTCTCCCTAGGCAGCATGACAGAGCCTCCTATCTCCTGAAGACGCTGAGCTGACACTCAAAAATGCTACCCTGTCCCAGGGCCTGGAGAGAGAGAATCTTTTTCTTTTTCTTTTTTTTTGGAGAGGTTTTCGCTTTTGGCGTGTGCGCATGCCAGACAGAGAGAGACATAGAGACAGAAAGTGAGAAGTCACCCCCCCCCCCAATAGGGTATGGCCACGCCACAATCCCTTCTCCTCCATTCTCCTCTCGGGATCTTGGACACGCATGCCCACGTGCCCAGCATGAACTTTAAGTCACCGGGTACAGGACGTGAACCGCGGTCGACCACGTGGGAGTCCAGCAACACAGCCATTACACTAACTGCTGGTTCCCAAGATAATGTTTTTCTTAAATCTTGAAGTGTGAGCATGATTGGATGAAGTACTTCCCTTCCTGTTGATGAGCCTCAGCCCTGGTGGGGAGGGGCCATCGCTGTCCTATACCTGAGCGTGTGTACTGAGCTCATTCTGCGTCTACCTACTGGCTGCTTTTCAGTAACTCCCCCTCTCCCTTTCTATCTTATGTTTCTACAGGATGACAGTGATGGGATTCCATGGTCAGAAGAAAGGGTGGTACGTAAAGTCCTCTATCTGTCTCTGAAGGAGTTCAAGAATGCCCAGAAGCGGCAGCACGGGGAAGGCATTGCTGGGAGCCTCAAGGCAGTGAACGGTGAGTTCCCCCTCGGTGCAGCCGGCTGCCTCTGCGGCCTGGCTCTGTGTCTGACCTGGATGTCTTCTGGATCCGATGCTTTTTAGGCAAGAGACTTGACGGCACTCTGAGCCCCATGGCACTCCGTACCCTAGCTCTCCGATAGGGTTTCCAGAGTCGTTTTTATGTTCCTTCCTGAACTGCGTAGACGTGTGGCCGAGGTGTTGTCTGGGTTGAAGGCAGGGCCTGTCTGGAGGCTTTCCTGAGGCTGCTTGTCTTGCTGCCCTAGTGTGTGAGCAGAGCCCAGGGGTGATCTTGCTGAAATTGTAGCCTTCCTGCCCGTGTGGGAAACAGCTCAAATGTCATGTCTTTTCCCGCTCTCTGGCCGACAGCCTTCTGAAGTACCCACTGCTTTTCTTGCCGTCCTGCCTGGCAGGCTGCTATGGGGCAGCAGGTGTACAGTGGCTTA